GAGGGTGTCTGTGTGGTGATGCTGTGACGTGTTTCAGACAGCGTGCCCATTGTGGGGGCTATTGTTGGGGTTGGGGGTTGTGCAGCTGTAGTTTCCCCTTCCTGAGTTCCAGACATGGTTGTCCCGAGAACAGTTGCTCCCAGGCTGGTCAGTGTTAGTGAAATGGTGTGGATAACTGTGCTGGTTGTCATGGGTGGAGATCCTTTCACGTCAGTGATTTTGTTCAGTGTTGTTGGGGATATTGACTTCTTGGAGATAGTGGTTGCCATGGACACTGGTGATGTAATGTCATTGCCTGTTGTGCTTAAAGCTGTTAGAGCTCTGAGAGTGGATGACTTCTGAGAGTCAGTGGATACTGATGTTTCCAATATATTGACCGTGGGACTTGGTGCTAACGGGGCTGCAGCTGAAGCTCTCTGATTCTGCTCTGAGGTCTCATCTGAAGTGGCCATAGTGGATGAGGCTGTCCTTCCCTGTTCCTTCAATGTAGAAGTCACCATGGAATTTGACAGTGTTGTGCCCTTGGAGGCTGTGATGTTAGCTGTATGTAATATCTCCTCCTGAGGGTTATGTATTGCGGTTGCCCACCCAGTGGACCCAGCAGAGTTGTAGGCTGGCAGTGAAGTTGAAATTGTAGCTGGTGTTGTATGCGTCTGGGCCTCAGCTGTTGCTGCCCTCCTGCTTGTGACTGAGGTGTTAAGTGGAACTGTAGGGGTGTTGTCTCTCTGACTGTTGGGAAGAGCTGAGGATGCATCTGAACACATTGTGGTTTCCTTAGGTGTGGAACTTGTTACAGCTGACTCACACCCCCAGTTGGTAATAATGCCTGTAAAACAAACAAAAAGAAACCAACACACCTGTTCCCTCCACCAATTCAGAGTTCTTCTCAGATGTTCTTACTTACCAAGTATCCTTGCTGGAAGATTCAATAAAAATAACATTAACGCCAACCACATTCGATGTATTCATTTATTTATGTGCCAGCTCTGTGAAATAGATCTCAGATGATACATGTCAAGGAGGTCAATTTAACTAAAGCGGGCAACTGTCTCCTTCCACTCAATGACTATTCGAGACTCAGAATCAGAAAAGACAGAAATCTGTTATCTCATTTGGTCTTCGATTTCTTGATACCTTTTGATGTATTTCCTATTGCATTGACTATGAGTCTAATATTTAAAGACATACAGTTTTTTATACGACCTGACCCCTAGTTGCAAGCCATCAGCTTTATTGAGTGCAAAAGCAGTCAAGGATAGTTTTGACATCGTTCAATTTCCACCTTGTCTGAGTAAGGTGTTGCTCCGATGAGCATTGGTTCATTGAGTCCTCACAACCAACCTGAATTTAGGACAATTATTTCTACTAATCAGACGGAGAAACTGGGCCCAAACAGGTCACACAGCCAGGAATGGTGGCGCTGTATTTGAAACCAGGTTCGTCAGACCCTAGAGCCCTGTGTCTTCCCTACTATGCTTCACTGCTTCACAAAATCACAGCTTCATTCACTCTCTCTAGAGAGAAGCGCCCAGCTCGGACCCCTGGAAACCTTCCTCTTTTCCCTGGGCAATGGGCAGAAATAGGCCCATCACCTGATGCCCTGTCATTGCATTCTTGGCAGTTGTCAAAGGCCTAATGCAGAAAACTGGAGGTGACCCAACCCAGGTGACAGGCTCATCATTCCCACAACCTAGCTTTGAGAAGGCACTGACCCTTGTCTCCAACTTTACCCGTGTCTGGCACCTGCTCCTTCCACACCCAACTTTCTTCCAGCCCTGTGAACACATAAGAGGTCACAATAGGGCAGGGAAGCTAGCCAGGACACGTAGGAAGAGTAGGGGGATCTATGCTTTAGACCTGGTTCTATTAGCGACTTGTTCTGTGATCTTGGGAAAGATCCCACTTTGCTCAGTGCCTCCATGTCCCCTTCAGTGCGGTGAGGGACTTGGGCTCAATGTTGGAGGAGCCCTCTAAACTCTGGTGACCCAAGGGTCTATTTGCTACAAAAGTCCAGGCTAAAATGAGCAGATGTATTACTACAGGGGTGTTAAGTTTTTATTTGCAGGGAGAGATGTTTCCATTGGACTTAATTTTATGGGTTTTTTTCCATGTGGTTAACCAGTTGTCCCTGCCTCCCTATGGAAAAGTCCATCCTTTCCCCACTGACTTGCCATGCTACCTCTCATTATGTATCCAGACTGATTTCCATGCCCTCGTTCGCATTTCATTGGTTCACTCTTGTCTATCCCGGGACCAACACCATGCTATGTTGCTGTTACTTTAATGTAAATCTCAGTATCTGGTAGAGTGAGTCTCCTGTCTTGTTCTTCAGAATTATCTTGGCAACGTTGGCCTTTCATTTTTCCTTCTATATATTACAATCTGTATATTCAGTTATGATGTTGATTGGAAGTTTGCCACAGTTATAGATTTGGTGAGATTGACAGCCTTTATGATTCTGAGGTTTCCCACCCACAGCAGCTCCTTCGAGAGGAAATGGATTGTGGCTTGTGATAGAATCCAACTTCTGTGATAGGGGATAAATCACTCCATGTCTCTGAGCCTCAGTTTCCTCAACAGTAAAACAGGGATGACAACAGTATCCACCTCACTGATGGTCATAAGGATTAAATAAGGTAATGCATGCGAAGCACCTAGCACAGTACTTAGCATATACTAGGTGCTCAACATGCTATTTTGTAATAGCTATCCCTTTCTGTTCCTCTCACAAAAATTGCTATCTACTTCCTTGGCGCTTTGTCAAGGATACTACTGTTCCTGGAAAAAGTCATGGACTCACGGGAGTGGTGAAACATGCAATTTCCAGCCACCTCCCAATATCTCCAGCCATACTGTTCTAGGGGCTCAGGATCTAGGGCTGCACTCCAACCTCAGGCTCGGCGAAGCTCTTTGCTGGAGTAGGGCAGGTGAGGGCAACAGGTGTCCAAGCCCCTGGGCTCCCAGGTATAGGCCAGTGTGGAGAAAACTAGCCTGCTAAAACCCCAAGCTACAGGCCCAGCCCATAGAACAGACAAAAAGGGGGAGACAGCTGAGATGATGGACAAAATAGAAGATGTGGACAAAGACAGCATCTGGAAGAGGGTGGATGAGCAAAGCCAGGAGCCCCTTGGAGGTCATCCCATCATGCTCCTGCCTCCAAACTCATTGGTACCCAAGCCTTTTAGACAGTTAAGAGGTGGGATGGAGGATGGCTGTGGTCACATTCTAGGATCTTCCTGGGGATACTACCTGATCTTCCACCACCTTCTTCCCCTCTCTGGCCAGCCAGAAGAGGGGCTGTGAGAGTCCCCAGAGAAGGATAAATGGAAAGGGAGTATGTGGACACTCACCAGTCAGATTGAGGGTTCCATCCCCAATAAATAGCAGCAGCAGCAGCAGCAGCAAAAGCCACAGGTTGCCCATAGCTCTGCTGGTTGATGATCCTGGAGGACACTGGGAAGCAGTCCTTGCCCAAACGGGAATGACAGTGTATCCAAGAGAGTGAAGCACTGCTGGCACTGGTGCCACCTCTCACCTGCCTGCTGACTATACCACCACATCCCCAGGTGTTCAGACTTTTTCCCAGTAGGCCCCAGTGGGCTTCTCCAGAGTGAAACCAATGCTGATTGTTGTGGGGTGGGGTGGGGTGGGGTGGGGAAGGAAGGTGGAGTTTCCCAGCAGCTGCAATCAGTGGGCCTCTGGGGATGCCCATTCAAATTGGTGAATATCCCCAAGGCCCCTAATTATCAGTCCTTGCTTAACAGCTGAGCAGAGCTCTGGGCCTTTCAGCCTCCCACTCCACCCAACACCAGGGAAGCTGAGCCTCAGCAGTGTGGCAGATCTCCTCGGTCTCCCAACTCCTGAGCTGAGAGCTGGCTATTTGATTTTAGAGCTGGAGATCAATCTTATCCTCTCCCCCCTGCACAGATGGGGAAAATGAGGCCCAGTGATTTGTCTGAGGACCAGAATCCTGCCCTCCAACGCATATCTTTCTATTGCCCATGCCTGCCAGAGCTTCCTCAGACTCTGCATTGCCTAGCTCTGGAACCTGCTTTGTCTCTTGATGGTTTTTGGTGTGAAGGTCCCACAGAGGCCTTGTAGGCCACAAGACCCCCACCAGACTTCATCAGCCTGGTCCACAGATGCTTTCTGCTGTCTTCCAGTAAGCTGCAGTGTCCCTCCCCTCCTGCAAGCCTGCCAGGACCACACTTGGCCCAGTCATTCTCCATTGCCCGAAGATGGAGCTTCCTGTGCTTGCGTGCCTTGGTCAAAGGGGACCTCATCAGACTAGGGTTCCCCAGAGTGAGGTCCAGTCTCTTCCGCCTTCAGATAGAGAGGGTAGGGCTGTCTCTTGCCTCAGGCAGAGGACCAGACTTTCAGCCCTAAAATTTAGGACTATCAGGGGTTATATCTCCACCATTAAGTCAGAAATGTTTAGGGTATGGATTCTCTCTCGCATTAGACTGGAAGCTCTGGAGAGTAGTTAGTGACTCTCCCATCAGAAAGTCAGGCTTTTGAGGGGCAAGGTCTGTCTTGTCCATCAAATCAGGGACAAGGTTGCCCCAAGGGGTTGGAGATCCACCAGTCAGACACATCGATCCCAACACAAAACTTTATTGTCAATACACAAATGCTTGGCCTTACTGGCCTCACCTTTCTCCTCTTAGTTCTCGGGCCCACTCAGGCCCCACCTAGCTCTGGCCTAGGGCAGGATGCCAGGGATGCCCCTCCTTAGTCCAAATCCTGGCTGCCTTAGCCAGCAGCCCTTTGCTGTAGGGCTCCCACTCTTATCCCGTGACCTTCTTCATCCCGGCTCCTCTGAACCTGGGGCTCACAGGCATGGGCCCAGAGAAGCTGCCCCCTCCATAGCTCCAGGCATCTGCCCAGGTATAAGGGAGAGGATGGTCTCAGGCCAGGCTTAGCCAAGTCACGCTAAGGATGCAGGAAGATGCAGCAGCTGGGTGTGTGCACACAGGCCCCTTGGCTCCCCTTCTGCCCTCTCAGCGGCTACTCTTGCGCTTGTTGAGTATACTTGTGTTAGACTCCTGGACCTGCAAACCGAGAGGTCTTGTCAGCGCCCTACCCTGGCATGGCAGATGCTCCCTTCCTCCCTTCCTCTAGCTTCAAGGGTGCCCCATTCAGGCCTCCCGGGGAAGTCCTCCATCTGTCTAACTCTAGCCTGCCTAGTATCCTCTCTGAGCTTGGGAGGCCAGGCTGTGAACATTCACAAAGCTCCACATCATTTTACAGCAGTCAGGTAGTATGGGAGGCAGAAACTAATGTGGGTGTGTGTCTTTTTCTCCCTAGGAGCTTCCTCCCTCAGAAGGAGGCTACTCTTATGCACCCTCAACAGGACCCAGGGGTCCTTCGCCATCAGTGGGCTTAAGTATCTGCCACTAAGCAAGAACTAGGCTGGCTCAAGCCTCACTAAGAAAGGGTAGATTTGAAGGCACTAGAGTCAGAAGTGGCTCAGTGGGCAGAACCTGGTGGGTGTGGCAGGGACTCTTAGAGAAGGAAAGGTGGAACCTAACCCTAATGGCGGACTGGCAGTGACTGCTGGGGTGTGGGAGTCTAGCAGCAGGGGGGCGGGGGCAGACCTGGAATAGACAGAAACCTTGACTACTGCAGCAGAGGCTAGACTAGGCTGGCATGGGCTGCGTGGGGTGGCCGAGTGAGCACAGACTGGGGGACAGAGGAAAGTCACACCTTTTCCCTGGTGACAAGCGCAGTGAGCAAGTCTTGCTGGCTGGCCATCTCACGGATGTCCATGGAAGACTTGCTCTCCATCAACAGGCTCTTTGAGACATGTCTATGCAACAGTGCTTCCTCCTGCTCCTGGTTGAAGCGGATGGAGCGTACCTCCTCCACTATCCTGGGGTCGAAGGAGTGAGTGTATTCCAGAGTGGGGAAAAAGGGGGTAGCCCTCCCACCACTTCCCTGGTGTCCACCCGCTTCATCCTCCCTCCACTCTGTTAGAGACCCAGGCCAAGCAGTGCAATCGCTTGCTTGCGTGAGATGAGAGGAACTGAGAAGTCTGGATTCCTGCTCCTCCAAAAGGCTGGGGAACCATGAGCAAGTCACTTAACCTCTCTGGGCCCCTGGGTCTGCATAATAAAATGGTGAGGACGTAAGGCCAGAGAAATCTGAGGTTCCACTCAGCTCTAACTCACAGGACTCAGGGGCAGCCCCAGTACCCGCCCTACGTGTTGAGCTCATCTCGGATCTCTTTGTACTGCATCAAGTTCTCCTGTATTGCCTCCAGCACCAAGCAAAAGTTGTCACAGGTGTTTTCTGAGAGGTTTGACATGGGGCCTCCCATAAGTGGCTCCTGGGGAAGGCCGGACATGTCCATACGGGCCACCACACAGTGCACCAGTGGGAGGTCGTAATTCTCATACTCTGCCATGTTGACTGTCTAGGGGAGGGGAAACGGAGAGAGGACAGACAGCTCAGCTGGCACCACCTTCCCCAGCCCCTGCCTGCTTGGCTTCGGGAAAGATGAGTCTCAGGACACCAGGATTCCAATGTACCTCATTTCAGCCTCCAACCACACTCAGTCTCCATACCTTGCTATGGGAGCTCAGCTTCAAATAAATACACAAGCCCTTCCCCTACTTCTTTGGAAATTCTCATCCCTCTTTAAAACTTAGCCCCCCACCCCCATTTCACTGCTAGTGAATCCAACCCAGCAAACTTCTAAAGCCCTATCTGCTCTCAAGTCACAGCCCGGGGCCCTCAACACTTTGAGAAGTCTCACACCCTCCACCTCCCCAACCTTTTGGAAGTTCTACCTCTGAATAAATAATACTGTAGCTAACATTTATTGAGTTCTTAGTATGTGTCATTTACTCATGTGGTTCTCATAATAGCCCTAGGAGGGAAGTACTATCATCATTCCCATTTTACAGAAGAAACTGAAGTTTAGATGGGTTAAATGCCCTAAGGTCATCCAGCTGCTCAGTTTTGAGTTGCCATAGAAACAAGACAGCTAGGAAATCCACACCCCTCAAAAGCACAGTTGGTGAATTGTCACTCAGGGTGGGGAATGCTGCCTTGGGGGTCTCAGGCTTGGCTTTCTGCCAGCACATACATTCATCTAAATACGTGCAAGTCCACACTCGCACACACCCTCCCTCTCCTCCCCCTGCCCTGCCCATCCCACTCACCTCTGTGAAGTTTAGTTGATTCTGTTGCCCCTGCTCTCCTGCCTTCACCATTAGCTCCAGGTTGGTGGTCACCACAACAACCAACAGGTTGATGCCAATGAAGGCACCGATGGTGATGAAGGTGGCAAAGTAGAGGGCACCCCCAATCTCCATTGCATAGTCCCTGATCTCCAGCCTGGAGATGACAGACAGAGACCCTGTCACTGCCCTGGCCCTTTGAGCTCAGTTTCCTCATCTATGAAATGGGGAAATAATCTCAAGACCTGCTAGGACTTCTGTTGCCTCACTGCTATTGTGCAGATCTATTGCCTACTTCTAATTGTCACCAAAAAAGATTTTATTTTTTTATTTTCAGGGAGAGGAGAGGGAAGGGAGAAACATCAATCGGTTGCCTCTTGCACACTCCCCAAATGAGGACCTGGCCCACAACTTAGGCATGTGCCCTGACTGGGAACCAAACTGGCTGCCTTTAGGTTTGCAGGACAACGCCCAGCCCACTGAGCCACACCAGTCAGGGCAGCAGCTGCTCTTTCCTGAGTACCTGCCACACTGCCAGATGGTGGGGTCTCCAACCCAGCCCTGCAGGGTGGAGATTTGTACATCAGCATTATCAAGTTTAATCTATTGACTATATTCTTCCTTATTATGAAAAGTAATTCAAGCTCACTATAGAAAGTTCAGAAGGAAGATATACAGGAAAAATTCCATCCACTATTAACATCTGTTTTAAATCTCCCATAAAATATTTTTCCAGCCCTAGCTGATATGGCTCAGTTGGTTGGAGCATTGTCCCATAAACTGAAAGGTCATGCATTCAATTCAAGGTCAGGGCACAAGCCCAGGTTGTGGGTTTGGTTCCTGGTTGGGCTTGTAGAAGAAGCAACCAACTGATATTTCTCTTCCTCTCTGTCTCCCTCCCTTCTCCTCTCTCTAAAATCAATAAGCATGTCCCCAGGTGAGGATAAAAAATATATTTTTTTCCCAGATATTAGTGTCCTCTCTCTCTGTCTTCTGTGTGTGTGTGTGTGTGTGTGTGTGTGTGTGTGTGTGTACTACGCCAAGCTCTATGCTAAGAGATTCATATAGATTTTCTGTTGATCCTCACAGCAATCCATGACATAGTTAATATTGTATTATAATCCCCAACTGACAGACGAGGAAACTAAGGCTCAGAAAAGAGATAAAATAATTTGCCTAACATTGCACAGCTAGTGTGGTGGAACAAAGACTCAAAAGCCCAGCCCACCTTTACAGGACACTCTGGTTTCTCCGCTACCTAAATCATAATGGGTAATGACAGCAGAAGCCCTTTACCAACTGGACTTGACTCTCACATGAAGGGAATGAGAGGAAATCAGTCAGGGGACCCAACTCCCTGGAATGGGCTAGAAACAAATAGGGTTTAGACTTAATGGCAAAGGGGTAAGAAACAGAACCCAGACAACCATCTATGGCCAAACATGACCTTGGGCAGCATGTCTAAGAGTAAATGAAATGAGACCCTAAGTTCCCAGGAGTCCAGGCAGTTTGGTGGGCTCCAGTGCGGGCTGGGAGGCCACCCTGAAGCCCTAGTGCAACCACAGACAGTGCCGCTGCCCAAGGCCAAGCTGCCCAGGTGTTTAGTGTGATGGGAGGGATATCTGTGAATAGGTCTGTGGTGGGACTTTGAATGGGTGGAGTTTCAAGAGGACAAGTCTTCAAGTGGTGCACACACCCAGAGGCCCCAGCCCCAGGGTTCTCCTTTCCTCCAGTTTAAAGTTCTGACACACTCTTCCTGTTGGGCCACCCTCACCCCCAGCCCCGGGAGCTCCACTCCCATCCAGAGCCCCTTTCCTTCCCCTCTCAGTAGTTTGCTTCATGGAAGCCCAGCCCCTGCTTTGCCTGGCTGGGCTGGGGGACCAAAACCCCCCAGGACTCACTGAAAGTCATCGTAGATGACCACCCAGCCATCCTGGGTGATGCAGATGAAGAGGGTGTACAGGGCAACCTGCATGTTCTCGAAATGCTTGGGCACGAAGGCACCAAAGAGAGTGACCCCAAACACGGAGAACACCTGCCAGAGAGACCGAAGACACGCCCTGACTTCACCCGAGAGCCTTGGAGGTAGGACATGCAAATGAACACTACCAAGGGAATCACAGGGGTTCAGACCCTTAGGCATCTCCTCTCCCACAGACACCCCTGTAACCCCAATAACCCAGGGCCTGTTCAGGGAAAGGGAGTGGCTGAGGCTGGGGGAGGGCACTGACCAGCATGAAGAAGAGGATGAGGGCCATGATATTGGCCATGTCAGGCACCGACTGCAGGATGACTCGGATGATCCGGGCCAGCGGCTCCACCGCCATGCACACGTGCAGCAGACGAAGTACCCTGTGGCAGAGCCTCTCAGGGGTGTCCCTCCGCCCTTCCCAGACCCCTCCCCCTCACTGCCACCCTACCTGTTCAGACAGGCAGAACTAATCCCCAGCTGGTAACAACCCCCATCTCTTCCCCAGAGTCCAGACAGGTCCCCCTCGTTTCTCCAGAGGGCCCAGCTCACCTGAGGGTGTAGGTGATGGAGATGACATTGAGTTCACTAATGAAGAACCCCAGGAGCAAGGTAAATATGATAAGGAAGTTGAGGATGTTCCAGCCGTCCTGGGGATGGGATGGGCCAGCCCCAGTGGGGTCTGTCAGGCCCATCCTCTGGGGACGGCCTGGGTCTGCCTTCCCCACACCCCAAGGGTAGGGGGCTCAATGTTCCTCTCACATCAGGGCCAGCCATTTGCCATCCACTGCTGTTACTCATTCTGTTGCCCCCAAAACATGCCACCGAACAGGCATGCGCTCGCTGTCCCATGCATGTGTCAACAGCCAAGTGCAGTCTCAGAGACACGCAGTGGAGACTCGCATACATACAGCTGGTGCCTAAGCTGAGCACCACCTCAGTGAGCATACTGCTGGAAATGGCCTTGCCCTACAGTTAAGTGACAGGAAAGTGGACACTCCAGGCTTTGTGTGACACACACTCCAATTAATAATAAAATGAAAATAAATGCTAATAAAAACATTAAGGACCACTGCTTCCATAGGCAGTTCAGAGGCAAACTAGCCCTCACTGTATAAGAGAGAGGAAATTTTTCCAAGCCCTTTGTCCAATAAGGCACAAACTCATCTAGGAGTGGGGAAGGGGAAGGAAGCTCACATGGCTGAAAAATTCAAGCACAGCTACTAAAGTGGGGAAGTTGCCCTATCTAATAAACAAATGATGCATTTACCTTTGACCAGTGATCTTACTTCTAGACAGCTGACCTACACAAACTCTGGTACAAGTACAAAATGACATTTGAGGTTGAAAACAACCAAAGTGTCCAGGAATTGAACCCTGGATGAATAAACTATTACACATTCATTTAATGGATTCTGTGTAGCCGTAAGAAGAAAAATAAGAAAGATCTCCATGTATTGACATAGAAAGTTTGCCAGAGCACGGGCTGCGAACCAAAGGGTCGTTGGTTCAATTCCTGGTTAGGGCACATGGCTGGGTTGCGACCCAGGTCCTCAGTGGGAGCCAAGTAAGAGGCAACTGCACATTGATGTTTCTCTCCCTCTCTTTCTCCCTCCCTTCCCCTCTCTCTAAAAATAAATAAACAAAAACTTAAAAAAAGTTTGCTAGTATTTATTAAGTGACAACAGCAAAGTGCAGAACACTGTTTATAGTATGCCACTGTTAGAGAAGGGGGAACTAAAAATATATACATGTTTGCAAAACAAACACTAAGAGGATAAACAAGGGACTATAAATACACAAAGATCACCTAGAGAGGGTGTGGGTATGGAACGAGGGATGAAAGGAAAGGAGTGAAAGCAAGAATTCTGTGTGTATTTTTCTTTTTCTTTTTTTAGATTTTATTTATTTTTATAGAGAAGGGAAGGGAGAGAGAAAGAGAGGAAGAGAATCATCGATGTATGAGAGATACATCCATCAGCTGCCTCTCATTCACCCCCATCTGGGGACCCGACCCACAACCCAAGCATGTGCACTGACTGGGAATTGAACTGGCAACCCTTTGGTTCCCAGGCTGGCACTCAGTCCACTGAGCTGCACCAACCAGGGCTATGTGTACTTTTCAATATAGTTTTGACCAATATGCATCTGCATCAAATATTAAAAAAGAAAACTGTTTTTTAATGGGAAAAAATGTTCTTAAATTTCTTGGGCAGTCCAATAAACACAGGGTCTCCTGGTGTCCCACGTTCAGAATGTCTGCACCTACACACACACAAGGAGACCCAAGCCAGCTTGTCTACAGACCCATCCCTCTGTCCATACAGTATGACGTTCATACTCTACACCAGGCCTTGAACCACATTCTGGAGATACAGGAGTTTTGCCCTGCTGCACTCACTGGTTATTTTATGTTGAGGGAGGTGGACAGGCAGTAAAATTTTAACTCCAGGTAAGGGAGATAAGCACATAGTGTTAGAGAGACACAGAGCAACACCTAACCTAGTCTGGGAAAGACAGGAAGACTTCCTGGAAGAGAAGACATTTTAATGAATCTTAAACTGTAAGTAGGTGTAAACCATGTGAATTAAGTGGTGGAGAGCTTGCCTAGACAAGGGTCAGCATGGACAAGGACAAGGAGGTGAGAAGCAGCAGTGTGTGTGTGTGTGTGTGTGTGTGTGTGTGTATGCGCTGCACACTGGGGGATATAACTACATGCATTTTGGTGCAGCTAGAACACCAAGGGTGAGGCCAGCAGTGATGAAGCTGCAAAAATAAGCAACGATACTTTGACTTGTGCCTTGGGAAGATCACTTTGATGGCAGGTGGGGACACAGGAAGAAATAGCAACATCCTGGTGAGAACAGACAAGCTAAAACAGGGGTAGCAGCCCTGGCCAGTGATGCTCAGTTGGTTGGAGCATTGTCCCAGACATTGAAAGGGTTCAATTCTCAGTCAATTCTCATTCAAGGCACATACCTAGGTTGTGGGTTCAGTCCCAGGTCAGGGCATGTATGGGAAGCAACAGCTTGATGTTTCTCTTTCACATAGATGTTTCTCTCTTTCTCTCTCCCTCCCTCCCTTCCTCTCTCTAAAAGCAATGAAAAGATGTCCTCAGGTGAGGATTAAGAAAAAACAAAACAAACCAGCAGGGGTATAGTGCTAAATGGGCTGTGGAGGTGAGGAAGCAGAAGGAGTCACTCCAGGATAGTAAAACAAAAAAACAAACAAACAAAAAAAACATGAGAGCTGGGAACAAAACTGGGGATCCCTATGTGGCTGGGTATAACATTTGAGATGTTAATTTCCAGACTTTCCTCCCTTCCCTGTATTTTTCCCTTTCCCTCCTCTCACCAACCCATCCACCACACCCATGCAACAGGAGCAAGCAGGCTTTGTGTACCAGGACCCAGGGGAAAGGCTGAGGGTGGGAAAGGAGGCAAAAACAGCTTCTAACAAGCCCTGGCTTTTGGCACTGGTAGCCTGACCCCAGATGGAAGGTTAGAGTTTGGAACATCATCTCAGCTGAGGGTGATTTTGCCCTCCAGGGGACATTTGGCAATGTCTGGGGACATTTTGGTTGTCACAACTAGGATGGTGCTCATGGCAGGAATGAGTAGATGCCAGGAATACAGCTAAACACCCTACAATGCCTAGGACGGTGCCCACCACAAAGAATTATCCGGGCCAAAATATCAGTACGGTAGCGCTGAGGTTGAGAAGCCATGGCTTAGGGTATGAGTAGAATGGCTTGGAGGAGCACAAGACCCTCACGCTTGCTTCAAGTCTCCGGTGCTAAGAAACTCTGGGGCTTAGCCTTGAAAGTGCAGGCCCCTAACTGCTACTGAAATCTCAGGCAGAATTGGAGGAGGAATGTCCTCTCTCAGGGAATGGATGTCTGCCTGCATCCTAGAGCTAGTTCTGATAAAGCACCGTGGTGCCTGCTCTCCTCTCTCGTGTGGAGATATGTAAATACAAACCATCCTATCCTTTTCTCTGCTAATGAGTATCCTTGCAAGTGTTGTTTGCCCAAAGCAGTCTCTAAGACATTCAGACTTCAGCATTTTTTGTTCCAGGCTTTACATTCTGTGTCCTATAAAGTGAAACTTCTAAACCAGGGGCATCAAACTCATTTTCACTGGGGGCCACATATCAGCCTTGCAGTTGCCTTCAAAGGGCCGAATGTAATTTTAGGATGGATAAATGTAACTACTCCTTAACAGTTAAGGGAGAGCTCGGCGCTGCCACCGGATAGAAACAAGGCGCCGGGCCGATAAAACAAGGTGGAGGGCCGGAGTCAGGGCCAGGGCCTTGTGTTGGCCACCTGTGCTCTAAATCACAGAAAGCTTTTAATTCTAACTGGTTGTTCTGGTAACTAAATTTAAATGATACTTCCTTTTTATGAGAGGTGTTTTTTTCATGTTTTTTTTTTTCCTTTAAAACCTCTTCTGGAACATTCCCAAAGGCAAAATAAATGTCTTGGCTCCAGGAATCCCTTGATTCCAGAAGTCCTATTCAAACAAAGAGTTTGAGTCTTTGTCTCACTTAATGTAACTTGCAGCCCTGGCTGGGGTAGCTCAGTGAATTGAGCATCGCCTGCAACTGAAGGGTGGTGGTCGGTTTGATTCCTAGTCAGGGCACATGCCTGGGTTGCAGGCCAGGTCCCCAGCAGGGGGCGCATGAGAGGCAAACACACATTTATGTTTCTCTCCCTCTCTTTCTCCCTCCCTTCCCCTTGCTAAAAATAAAATAAAATCTTTTTTAAAAAGTCATTTTAATGTAACTTTCAGGCCCACTCCCACCCACACAGCTGCTTGATGCCCTCCAGCACAGGGGTTCACAGACTGTAGGCCAGGGGCCAATCTGGCCAGCAGCTCTGTTTTCATAAAACCCTCAGGCTAAGAACGATTTTCATATATTTTTTTAATGGTTGGTAGGGGAAAAAAATCAAAAGAATAATATTTGGTGACGCATGAAAATAATATGAAGTTCAAATTTCGGTGTCCTCGAGTGGGGTGACCCCTGCAGAGGTGGTCACACACCGCACAGGTGAGTGTTTGCAACTGAGACCGGATGGCCCACAGAGCTTAAAATACTTATCTGGCCCTTTATAGAAAAATTTTGTTGAGTCCTACTCTTGAACCCTGTAAATTAAGGTGAATGTTTTCGATCTCATTTCTTTTTTTTTAAAAGATTTTATTTATTTATTTTTAGAGAGGGAAGGGAGGGAGAGAGAGAGAGAGAGAGAGAAACATCAATGTGTGGTTGCTGGGGGCCGTGGCATGTGCCCTGACTGGGAATCAAACCTGCAACACTTTGGTTTACAGCCCGCACTCAATCCACTGAGCTACGCCAGCCAGGGCTCAATCTCATTTCTTATATAAGAACATGAAGATTTTCCCGGGATCACAGAATGGTGGAAGGTTAGAAAAGGGATGGAACCCAGGGAGGCTGCACTTCTAGTACAAGTTACTGCATCAGACATCTCAGAAGTAATCAGTCTCTGTCTTTCTCTCTCTCTTATTTCTCTCATTCCACCCTCCTCCCTCATTTCTCTCTGTCTCTCTCTCATTTCTCTCTGTCTCTCTCATTTCTGTCTCTCTGTCTCTCTCTACACACACACACACACACACACACACACACACACACTCCTCAGTCTGCAGGGCCAGGAGCACAGGGATGGGGACAGGATGGGGGTGAGGTTCCTAAGAAGGCACAGGGGCAATGACAGGGAGGGCCCAGGATCTCACCTTCCAGAAAATCCAGAAGCCATTTAACCAGCCAAGGAGAACCTCACAGATAAGGATGGTCAGCACAATGTCATCTATGGTAGAGAACAACTCATAGTGTTTCTGCATGGAAGACAGAGAAAAAGAGAGGGACAGAAAGGTCAGTGGAGTGGGAGACTGGGCCTGGTCGGGGAGCGAGAATGTCCTGGGGAGAGGGAAGGCTTATATTCCTGCTGCTCTTCATCCTCAGCACCGTCGCTGCTCCTTTAGGCATGCTTTGCATGCATAGGCCAGGCCCCACGCCACGACCACCCTTGCACCATTTCACGTTACCATCACCATCGTCCTACAAAGCAGGCTGTATTCCCATCTTACAGATGAGAAATGAGAGGTGCCCAAGGTCAGACAGTTAGCAATAAAGACTATTGAATCTGCTCCTCTGGGGTGAGGACACTTGTAGAAGGGAGGCGGGGGAGAGGCAGACCTGCCTCCAGAGTTGGGAGGAGAAGCCCTGGCCCCTGAGGTGGAGGACAGCAAGTTTCATCCCCCTCCCCTGCCTGTCCCAGCCACTCCTGCTGGCCCAGCTCCCAGATCCCCCCGGCCAGCCTGACCGCACTCCCTGGGTGGGTGCGTTGTGGTCGGATGACCATGTGGTGTTGAATTCTGTTTAAACTCCAACTCGCTTTCCCCCAACCTCCATCCCTTAGCGCCCATTAAGCTGTGATACCACTATATTCTGTGACCCTATTAACACCTCCCAGCCCCCCCGACTCTTCCCTGGCAGTTACCAGAGTCACCAGGACTCCTCACTTTTTCCACTTCCGTGGCCAACAAACTCTGCTCCAAGGCTCGCTGCCACACACGAAGACCACCTGCTATCCACTGCTTGCCACCACTGTACCCCCATGCACCGGCTGGGCTGTGCTTCTTCAACCCATATGGGAAGTTGAGGTTTATGGGCTCCCTGCCTGTCCCAAATTCCCAAAGGGCTTCATGGGCCAGGGATGGCAGCCTACAACAAGGAAGGGCTTTCTGTCCCCTCAGTGCCATCCCACTGGCCACTGAGGGCAATACGCTCTCCTCACTATAGAAAGAACTTTCTAAATAGTCCTTCTGCCTTCTCCAAGTCGTGGTCATCTGTGGCTAAATCAGAGTTGCCTTCTCTACCCACAAGCCTTCCATGGTTCCCTATGGCCTTCAGGGCAAGGTTCAAAACCAGTTTGGCATCCTCGGGCCTCTAGGATTTGCCCTCTGTGGACACATACCCTATACTATGTTTGATTGGGACCCATAGTAAGAGAAATATATTTTATATCTTATAACATGACTCTCTCCCTCCCTCTCTCCCCAAACCCCCCCCCCACCATCACCCCCACATACACAGACAATTCCTATTTCATTCTTTTTCATCTTGGTATTTCATCCTGTACCCGAACGTTAGCATCTGCACTCTGAACTGATTTCCTGATCCATCAGTGCGTGCCATCTGCCCTCCAGGCTACTCCACACTCTGGCAGTTGGGATTTGCCTCCACCGCACCAGAGGCATCTCTCCTCAAGGGCGTAAGAGCTAAGTCCAGGGGAAGCTCCCTAGTCCTCACTGCCGCTGCGCCCGCCCCACTGGGAGCACAGCTCCCGGGGTTCCTCCCACTTCTCCAGCTCTCCTTCGCCTCAGTCTCCCTTTGTACCTCCTCCTCCACTTTCCGCCCTTCACCTGCAGGCTCTCCTCGGAGCCAGGGCCGTGCGTTGGCCCCTTCTCTCCTCACTCAATTCTCTCTCCCCAGGCAACCTCATCCCTTCCTTTAGCGTCAGCAAACCCAGAGGCTGGCAACTCTCCCGTCACCACCTCCATCCCAGTGCTCTCTGAGGCCTTTCGGAGTTGACCTCTCACCCCTTACTAGACATTTTTCTGTGGATATTGCACGGGCACCTCAGATACTCAGACAACTCAAACTGAACTCAGCGTCCTTCCCAAACTGACTCATCCTCATCTGTCCCCATCTCCCAACAAACAGTACCATCCCCATATAGCCGCTCAGGCCAGAAACATAACTCCTTGCTCTCCCTTCCTCTGTCCGTGTGTGCAGTGATGACGGATGTTAACCGAGGCAGCACAAGTAAGTGCTCACTAAGTGTTGCTAGGAAGAAAATCGGTCTGGAAGGCCCATGGATCCAGGCACTAGGGAGCTTCAGAGGCCCATGGTCCCTTTTCCCCACTGCCGTTGTCCTGCTCCACGTCCACCGTCTTTCGCCTGGAATTCTACAACACGGTCCCGCAGGCTTCACCTTTTCAAGTTCTTGACCCTCTCCCTCCCGTGGCCTGCCAGCCAGTGTAAGGTTTCTAAACACATGCCTGGTCATGTCACTTCCATGCTTTAAACTCTTCCCTGGCTTTCCGGTGACGTAGGATAAAGGCCACCCTCCTTAACAGAATGTAAAGACACGGCTGCCGACCATCTCTCTGAGCTCATCTGCCACCACACTGAACATTTTAAAAATATTGGTTTTAAATATCACAACTCATGCGTGTGATATCCTCCTTGTAAGAAGGTAAAACAATCAAGTCTCACTGGATTTCATGCTGGACACGGAGAACACATGTTATTTCTGCCTTCTCCCTCTCTGCCTGGCCAGCTTCCACTCTTTCTTTATGCTCAGCTTAAGGGTCCCTTCCTCCGCAAAGCTTTCTTCAGCCCCTCAGGCTTGATGCCTTCTCTGAGCTCCCATGTGCTCTGATTCTCAGGCATTTAACGAACTATAGAAATGGTCCCTGAAAGTCTAGCCTTTGACACTCAGGCATTTGTATAATGGCACGTTTGTGTCTGCCTGAGACAGAGCTGGGTCTGCTGTGCTCATACCTGGAACCCTGGCTCTCAGTGCAGTGCCCGGCACGGAGAGATTCTCTCTCAGTGACTATTGATTAAAACGGGATATGCTTCCCTACCAGGCACGCATTTGCCTGCCTCTCCTCACACCACTTTTTCCTGTCCTTCTTTATACAAAAGCAATGTGTTCCTCAAAGCTGGGGACCCTCCACCACAATGTCTTTCTTGACTTGACTACTGGAAGGTCAGAGCTAACCGGTCCTTGAAGAGCAGCCAATCCAATCATCATGGACAGATGAGGAGCCTGAGGCTCAGAGAGGGAAGCACCTTACCAGGCCCTTCCTCATTAGATCAGTGGGTGCGGAGGTCAGGCCAGAGTCCCACCTGGTGAAGGACGGAGTTGGTGCGGAGCGCAATGGTGATGGCGTTGGTCACCAGCAGCATCGCCAGCAGCAGCTGAAAGGCCCAGTGTCGGAGCAGCTGCTTGACATACATTCTGGCGATGAACTCCTGCACGTCCCAGGCATCCTGGGAGAGGGCAGGAGACCTTTCTTCAGGCAGGTGTCGCCGTAGGAGGCCTCTGCCTGGCTGTTTGTTCTCAGTGAGTGGGGCTCCCTGGGGAGGCCCCTCTCAGGGGAAGGGGCCTAAGAGGGAATCAGGGAATGGGAGATCAGTGTTGAGGTCCCTACCCAAATGGCTCACTGCTGGGGGATCTTTGTGAGGGTCATTGCAAGAAGGCTCTTTTAGGGTATCTGGCAGCGGGTGGCCGTCATTATATAGGGGTTCCTGTGAGTGGCACTGACAAATCCTGTCAGGTAGTTACTAACAAATCAGGGGGTGTGACTGCAGGGATTACTGCTAGGGAGTGTCCTCTGGAAGGACGCTTTGAAGGCAAAAGGGACAGAGTTATTATGAGGCCTATTGCCCCGTGGGCGCAGCTGCAAAAGGGCCACCGTGGGGGTGAGGACGGATGCAGCCCAGCCCTGTGCTTACCGTTCTGCTGGTGATTTCTCGGCGGTCGATGAGCACTTGCTCCTCTGGCCGGATGTAGTGCTCTTGAGTGGACCTCTGCAAGGGTGAGGAGAGGGCCTATCAGTGCGGCCCCTGCCCCGCCGGACCTAGTACAGTCCTCCCGTGCTCCTGCCAACCCTGGGATGCCCAGATTGAGTGTGGAGCCAGGCAGGAGCCACCTACCATGACATTCAAAGATTTGATATTGGTGCTGTCGATCCATTGCTGCCACCAGCTTTCCATCACAGCTGCTCAGTTTCCTCCCACACCTCAAAGAAATTTTATTCCAAGTGGTCTTGCTCCCTCTTGTGGTGATATCATAGAGGCCTCTGTGACCTCCAGCCATTTGCATTCCACCTAGGAATTCCAATCTTGAGAGAAGCTCCTCCCACTGAACCCCCTCACACAATACAGAGGAAGTCCCAGATGTTAAGGGCTGCGGCTGAGGTCAGAAGCCGAGAGGTTGATGGGAGCAGGTCAGGTCTCCTCCACGACCTGGATGGAGACACAGGGGTGTGTCCCTATTTTGGATCCAGGAGCTGGAGAAGACACTGGGCTGAGGAGAGGAAAAAATGTCTCACCTCAAGGCTCTCCTCCTGGTAGACCACAGCCTGCACCCCTCCCCACGGGCTACTCCATCCCACCACCCTGGTCCCCAGGAGCCCACCCTGCCCTTCCATGCCAGGTATGTTCTCCATCTAGAGAGTGAAAGGCTGGTCTCTATTTCTCACTCTGAGATGAGGCAGGGAAGTACCCTCTGGTCTCCAGGGGGCCGGGGCCAGATGAGCCTGAGTCAAAGCCCTCATGAGCCACAGATTAGCAATCTTCATCCCGGTAGACAGGGCTTCCTGCTGAGCCCAGGCACGGGGCCGCCAGTGGGCTAGTTACCAGGAGCATTCACGCGTCTGACAGCTTTTTATCCCAGTCCCCTGGGGAGCAGATTCCTGATTCTAATGCGGAAGTTAAAGGCACACATTAAATTCATGTTAGCAAAATTGACTTTATTTGGTTGAAAAGTGTCTCTGTGTGAAGTGAAGAATGCCTATACGGGTTTGGGGAGGAGAGAAGTGCCGGGTTTGGGGAGGAGAGAAGTGCCGAGGGCCTGAGGGAGGCAGGTTCGTGGCCCCACAGGTCAGAGGACGGATGGGAGTTTCTTCCAGTCCAGCCTCCCATTCCTTCATTGGCAAGGGGGCAGAGAGTGGTACACAGCTCACATCATCTTATCTCACTCCAGGGCAGAGGGGAGCAGAAATGGTATATGCTCAGGCCGAGGGGTCAGCTTGGGGTGACACCATGGACCTGTTTTACCTCCAACCCTGAACAAAACCCAAGGCTGCTCTGTGCTAGGCATGTTGAGGCCAGGGTGGAGGTGGTCCTCAGAGCCAGAGGTCGGGAGCTAGGTGCTGGCCAGGGTCAGAGATCAGGAGGTTGGAGGTTGCTCTCTGAGGTCAGGGTGCTGAGATGGGAGAGCTCTTCAGGGTCAGAGGTCAGAGGGTGAGAAGACTGTTCTCTGGAGTCAGAGGTCAGGACTTGGGAGCTGCCCTCAGCCTGCACCACTCCCCAGGCCCCCAGACTCTCTGAGTAGAGCTCCTGGTTCTGCTCTTTCCACCGTCGGAACTTCTCTCCAGTGAGCTCGGGGTCGCCTAGCACTTCCTCCAGGGCCTGCAGTTCTTGCAGCTTTGCCTGTGAAGACAGCAGGGGCCAAGGGGCCATGATCACCGGGGAGGGTGGCAGAGCCTGAACCCAGAGCCAGCTGAGTACTTAAAACCCAGCACCTGGCCCAGTGTAGTCCGGGTCCTCAAGTCAGGAGCCTAGAACTGGGCCCAGTACACGGCTGAGCCCAGAGCTGTGGGCCAGGAACCGGAGCCAAAAGCCTAGAGCCCAGCCCGTTGCCATGCCCAGCGCCCCCTGGCTGACCTTGAGGGTGCTCTGTAGTGTCCTCACACGGTGCACGCGCTCATTGAGCTGGGGGTCTCGGTTGCGCCTCATGAAAGAGCTCCGCCATTGTTCCTGAGTGAAGGGCTGTGGCTGGCCCAGGAGGGACAGACCACCCTGCCTCAGTCCCCGTACCATTCCTTCCAATGCCCCGTCACTGTTGTCTGTGGGAGGGGGAGCAGATGAGGGTGTGCCCAACCCAGCCCTCCATCTCAGCGCCCAACCCCAGCACAGCACCTGCCGGAAGGCCAAAGGAGGTCTGCGGGCTGCCCTGTGCGGGGGAGGCTGCGGGTGACGTGTCTCCGTGAAGTGGACCCGCAGCTTGGGCAGCGCCGGGCTGTAGGCCGGGTGGAGGAGAGAGGAAGGTATCAGTCTGAGCCCTACGTCCCGCTACTCACCCCCACCAGGCCCCTACTCACCAAGGATGAGAGGGACCCAACCTCATCGTCAGGGTCTTCTGCTTCCGTCTCACTGTAGCAGTCTGGGGTGGACAGGAGCAGTTAGGGAACCCACTAAGCTTCACGGGGGTTTTGGAGGCCAGGAAGTGGGTTAGGGCATTTGAGTTCCCAGCCCCTATCCCAGGAAAGGCAAAGGCTCAGGTGAGACCTGGTGAGATCCATCCCTGCGAGATACCTACCTTCCTCTCGGGGTAGGGAGGCCCGGCCCGGAGACTGGTACTTGGAAATGCAGGTTATGAGATGGCGCACCCACCTGCAGAGGGGCAAATGGGTTCAGGGAAGTTTCATTTACTGTGTACCGAGGGCCTTTCCCCCAAAGCATCTTGATTCAATCCTCAGAGCAACTCTGAGAGGTAGGAACTCTTACTAGCCCATATTATAGATGATGAAACTGAGACAGAGGAGTGCCTGGATCAACCACCATCAGAGAGCTGAGATTCCAATCCAGGCTCCAAGCACTCATGTGGGAGTTTGGGGGTGAGCGGGGGTGGCACTCACATGCTCAGATCTGTCAGGGTATCAGCAGCGAAGATGAAGGGTTTGTACACATCATGAGTGAGCTGGAACACACTGCCAGGGAGCAGAGGGGCTGCACTCAGCCTGGGTGTGCCCGTCTGGAACCCAGAGAGGCTGCACTGGCCTCCACCCCTCCCCCACTGTTAGCTTTTACCTTCCTTTCTCTACCCACCACCGTGCCCCGTCACACCCAGGACTTAACTATTTTTTCTTCTGGTCATGCCCACTTTCCAGACTGTAGTTGGAGACATTGATGAGGCCCTCAGCCTTCGCGTCCTGGGGGGACCACAGGGAGGGTCAGCATGGAACCCCAATACCCTCCAGGTTCAGACTCTCGAGGCCACCTCCTGGGCTGTCTAACCACAGACCTCTGCGTCAGGAGCTCAGGGCAGGAATCTGGGGTGGGGGCAAGGGGAGTGACCAAGGGGTGCCTTGGAACCAGGAAAGGGGAGCCAAACAGATCCAGAGAAACGGCCACGGGAAGAGCCCGCTCCTGAGTTTGTTCTGTCAGTGGGCGCAGCCGAAGCTGCTTCACGCCCCGAGCTCCGCAGAGGCTGTTCTCCCCACTTCTGGCTTTCTCTCTCCTCTCCGTCTGACCGACCCTTGGACACGATGTCTCAGGGAGCTTCGCCGCTCCTCGGGCTGGACTGGCCGCCTCTGCGGGCTCCCACCCATCCCCTAGGCTTTTCCTTCGTCACAGCATGTATTCCCCGCACTGTCCTTGGTTCTCCCTCTCCGCCACCAGCATGGAGTAGCAAGAACTGCCCAAGTCTCCCTGTGTCTGCAGGGCCCAGCCCAAAGCTGAGCACACAGTAGGCACCCGAATGCGTGTTGAATGAGTAAACAATTGAGGAAACAGCCTACCACTAGGATGGACAGAATAGAAGAGGAAGGAAAGATGCTTTTACACACACAGGTGCCCATTTCTCTCTGAAGAGTGTCCCCATTTTAGAGACAGGAACACTGGGGCGCATGAGGGATTGTGGCCCACCTGTGTGACCACAGACGGGAGTAGACAGTGCAGTAGGAGCAAGAACTGCGGCCTGAAGGCAACTCAGGTGTGTGCGGGGTCTCACCTGGGGCTGGCGGTACCAGTAGAGTGTGTGTCTCTTGAGCACGAACCAGCAGCGGCGCCAGCGAGGGCCCATGAAGCCACTGGGCACCTTGCGCAGCAGGAGCCAGCCGTCACAGTCGGGCAGGCCCAGCTCCCGGCATGACACCCGCCGGCGGCTCAGCCGCGTCGCCACGCCTGCAGCAGCACAGCACGGGCGTTCAGTGAGGGGCTGGCAAGGCACCCTGGACCCCCGAACCTGCTCCCTTGCCCACCACGAGCATCCCCAGCTGATATTTCTGAACCCATACTCTGTGCTCGGAGTTCGGCTCGGAGCAATGGCTCCCACTTTAGAGGTGAGGAAATCGAAGACCAGAGGACGAGCTGTTAGCTCTAAGTCACAGAGCTCATGACAGGCCCAGGCTGGGAACACAGGTCTGTCTGACCCCAGAAACAGAGCTCTTTCCAGAAGAGGCTGTGTGCGAAGTGTATGTGTGTGTGTGTGGGGGGGGGGGGGGCGGTCTTGTCCAGCACCATAAAGACTTCTAAGAGCTCCTCATGTCAGGGGACCCCCACCCAGCCGGGTGCATCTCATACCTTTTGATTTCTTCCGACCAGGGTCAGGACTCTGAAAGGACCATAGGGGGTTAGAGCCGGGTCTCGGCCCAGAGTCATGCCCCTCCTTGCTGAGCCCTCAGCTTACCTTGTTTTCTGGGGGTCCACGAGCCTCTGCTACCCCCACGGGGACTGTGGCTGGGGGTGCAGGGGCACTGAGCAGGGGCTCGGGGTCAAGGGAGGCAGAGTCTGTCAGGGAAGGGGAAAAGAACAGGGTCCATGAGCCGAGCCCCAGCCCTGGCAGTAGGATGGGGGTATCAGAGTCCAGGGCTCAGAGCCAGGTTCCCACATGTCCTTCCTGGGGCATCTACCACCGTGTGGGGCTTTGGAACTACCTATTGAGGCAGGGCTGAGCCCAGGACTTGGGTTTGAAGCCAGGTTGAAGTCAAAGACGTCTTCGGATGGGGCCCTGCGGAGAGGAGAGCAAGGGGAGATGACATGAACCCAAGGCTCCCCCACCAAGATGCGCCCGGGGCAGAGCCTCTTACCCAGGAGACAGTGGGCTCAGAGCCGGCGATGGGACCCTCAGCTCTGGGGAGCCTGGGGTCCGAGGAGGAGTCTGGGGAACAACCAGAAACAGGGTGATGGAATGGCAACAGGAATCTGAGAGCGGGCCAAGGGCAGGGTTGGGCAACAGGTACCTGTGGGGGTGTCTCCGGCACTGGGACCTTCTTCA